TAATTTTGTTCGAAGAACATTTTATGCAGTTTTACTTCGCAGCACTTCACTTGCAATTTGCAATATCTAGTTTTAAGCATTTGTTGATAGCTGCTGTAATGCATTTAATTCTAGATCTGTGTGGGGTCACCCCTACTTCAAAACACAATGTTTTGTTTGAGATATAGTAGAAAGCATCCTGTGATCATATTTCCATAAATTTGATGAATGGCCTTCAAACCATCACCAAGTTGTTATTCCAAATTCCTAGCAAGTGCTTTTTGGTGTTTAGTAAAATATTCATAAAATTATTAATACTCTTAATTGATTTTAAATATTTTTATCGCAGTCCAGATTAAATTGCTTCAAACCAGAGCTCTATGTATAGCAAGCAAGTTATAATCTCTAACTTACCACTTCAAGATCACTGTGATTTTTCGAACTAATTTGGTGATTACTGTCAGTGGATAATTGTGGAGACATTTCATTGGATACCAGATTCATATGGCTTCGGCCATCCTGCATAGCATTCAAGACATCATAAAGAGGCATAGTAGCTGGGATTGTATCAATAGGCCGTCCCAATTTAAGGAATACTTCTTTCACTGTTGACTGCTTTTCGAGGTCGACTTTTAGGAGATTTTTTGTCAGTAAAATTCCAATTATATCCTTTTCATTTTCATAAACTGGAATTCTGGAATGTCCTTTATCTACAATCTGTAAAGGATATAAAGAAACTCCTTTATTACCTATACAATAGTTATTAATTTTTTTTTTTTCAATCATTAATACTTGGATTTACCTCATCTATCTTTCGCCTGTCTAGGACATCAGTTGTAGGTAGCATGTAAATACTCTTTAGCGGAGTGAATGCATCTTTAGCACACTTGTCTCTCATAGTGAGGGCACCCTTTATGATGAGCACTTCATCTTGGGATAGTGGGTTTTCATTTTCTTCAGAGGTTTCACCATGCAAGTCAACCAATGCTCCAAGTTCTGTAATCATAACAAATGCTTTTGTAATAAAAACATTCTAACAAGTGACAAATGAAATATTTGTCTGCTACCTATCGGTTGATATTACGGTTGGTCTTAACCATACAACACATGGGCGGCGGAACCGGGGGCCCGGGCCCCCCCCCACTTTTTGGCGAAAAATATATAATGTCTGGAGAACTTTGTATGATCGGAAATGCAAAAAAGAAGGAGGGAAGAAAGAGAAGGATGGGAAAGAGAATGTTTATCCAGTACCCGACCGAGTTACATTTTCTCGCAATTCACAT